TGGTAAAGTAGGTTTATTTTTACCAAGGTTCGTCCAGATCTGTAGATCCACATAAGAGCTATTGCTCATTGTCTACACATATTTTTAAAACTTAAATAATTTTATTATTTGTTTATTTCTAGTAATGTTTATTTTTAAAATCTTTCTCTTCGCCAATGAAATGGCTGCCTGGAAGAAATAAATTTATTACGTTTATAATGAAAAAGGAGAAAATGGTATTGTGTTTGGAGAATCATGGCATTGCAACCCCCCCCCCCCCCCCGCTCTAGTCACTGTGACTGTAGACCGATGCCAACGAAAAAGGCGTTGTAATGGATAGCCGAACCCTTCCCCGATAACATAACCACCATTGCGTGAGCTTGCGTGGGCAGACAAAGGGCATGCATGTTGTCTGCATTAAATGTTAGATTCTATAGTGCTACAACAACTGAGGACATATCTGCAGTTGAAATAATGGTAGGAACAGGGTAGGGATTACGATTACTATGTTGCCGCTGATAGCAATGAGGCAGGTAGGGGAAAACCCATGCCAATGATTCTATAGACACAGTCAATGAGGAGGCTCTTCGTAGGCAACCGTTTTGGCCTAGCTACTAGGTGAACTATTTCTGAAGCAACAACCACTGTAGGAAACCCTTTTAGAATGCGTCCGATGCTTCTCCGGGATAGGCAGGAGAATATCACCGAGAGCAACATCACCGAGAGCAGCATCACCGAGAGCAACATCACCGAGAGCAACATCGCCGAGAGCAACATCACCGAGAGCAACATCACCGAACGATCGGATCTCTTTAGTCTGAGATGACCCCCGTAAAGAAAGTCAGTCGAATGAAGTTATGGGCGGTGGTATCAGTAGATTCAAACGTGCCGCTTCGTGGCCCGATAGTTGAGTGGCTTTTCGGGCCTGAGGGGGGGAGTGCGTTGTGGAGGACCATTAAGAGCTTTTACATCGACGCTCGCTGACGCCATTTCCTAATGTAAATATAACTGTGGCAATTCTGGTGACATTAAATCTCTTAGTTTATTATATCTACTTATCTACATTAACTACATTTTTTTAAAAATTTCTCAGAACAATTCAGGAGAAATTCTCTTCCAAGCATTCACAGCTTCTTTTGGCAGAGCAAGCAATATTTCACTCCTTCCAAAGTAAGCTATTGAAAGGTGTACGGTCATGTCCATTTAATATATTTCTATTTATAGAATCCTTTAACAATTATATCAACATGCGGTAAAAAGAGAGAGGGAAAAATATCTTCATCTAACATAAGAAAACGACTTATAAGATTTAATATAAAATTATAAATTTTAATAGTAAATTTATGTTATCCATGAACATTTAAAAGTACAAAATAAAAGTTAAAATACTCGTGAAATTATTATATATATAAAAGAATGACATATGCTGACCGTAACGCCAAAGAAGCAAAAAGATTTAAACACGTTCGGATTCTTAAAAATTATTAGAAGTTATTTTCTATTATTTTACGAAAATTGAATTAAATTTAAATGCGCAAAAATATTATATATCCGCTTTTATTTTAGTAAAAGCTTAAGCATTATTATAATAAATTAAAAATACTTTAAGGTAACATCTAAGGAACTATCTTAAGCATTTTATACGCGTTTTAACTTAATGGAAAAAAAAAAATTAAAAAAAAAATGATGAAGAAAGAATTCTATCGCATCACATTTATCGGGAAAATCAGAACAACGGTCGCTGCCAGTGCGTTGTTAATATTGCGAAATCAAATTAAAATTAACTTGTTATAAATAAACACGCAAATGCCGTCGTAGCTTGAATCTCATTTAGCCAAAACTCTTTTGTTTCTTTGATTTAATAACCGCCCGTAACAAAACTGTTTATGTATTTTCCACTTTTTAAAAGTAAAATTAATAAATTTAATTTATTGCTTTTTAAATCGTTAAAACACCAACATTTTAATTTAGTATTTTAAAAATCTAATAAGTTTTTTTTTTTTTTTTTTAATTTCCAAAAATATATTTTTATTAAATGTATAACGGATCAAACTTAACCTTTAAACATACTTCTAATAAGAAAATGCCCATAAAGTCAATCAGTGCAGCGAAACTCAATAGCAAAATATCATTCACTTATAACTCATCCGATTAAGAACAAACCATATGAAGTGCAAAAAATGTGAGAAGGGACTAAAAAATATGTTTACCGATTAAGAAAAAACAATGACGCTAACTAAAAGATGGGTATACAGGGTTGACTTTTTACCGCGTTTCGAGCATTAAACGGAATGAAGCATATTTTTTTAAATGAACTTTATTATTTTTATTATCATTATTACATGTATATAAGTATACCAATGAATATCAATATCCAATCACTTGAAAATTTAATTTTGAAAAATTGAGATGGGTTAATATTTTCTTTCAAAATAATGAAATTATATTTTTGTGGGTGTGTATTTTTATGAGCTTAACAATAAAAAAATAACAACACTCAAGTCACTTATAGACGCGAAAAACGTTTGCAAGATTCCTCTTTAGATAAAAGAATTCTTTGTTTTACGATATTCTGATAATGTATGATGATCATATGTATATATCAAATTCCTTAATATAAAATATCTTTATATCATATAAATATTGTTTTTTGTTGCAATGTTAAGATAAGGTTAAAAAATTTTAGAGAAAAAAAAAAAGTTGTATTTCAAGGGCATGAAAAGAGGTAAATCTGAACTATGTCTCTAGCCTAGAAATCACCCCTTAATTAACATATTTAGTGACAAAAGTGATATAATTAGTGATAATTTACATTCCGTAATTTAAGGAAATGTTTAGAGGTGAAAATAGTTGTTTAGGGGCGTGAAAGTTAAAAGTGTCGGCGTATAATATATATAAGATTAATATACTATTAAACATAATGATGCTAAAAACGTAAATATCACTACATAAATACTTCTTTTTAAAGTAAGCATTGTGATGAGTTTTTTTCAATAGCAGGTGGAAATTATTGCAAAGGACCTACCATTATTATTCCTAATACATCGGGTCATATCTTCTAGTTTTAAAATATTCAATCATATGAGCTATGTAAGTATCATTTCAAACAGAGCTATTGCATGGGTGGATCAAAGTGTGTGGTCTAACTTTTTGAAAATATTTGCTTCTCACATGGGCAGCTGTATGTGGCCTGCTCACGGGTTGAACAACCTTCTAATTTATTTGTGTACACACCATATAGAAAACTAAAAAAAAAATATCCATATAAAAATTACTGTAAAAAACATCATTAAAGCACAAACACTTTCTTTCTTAGAATGGCATTGCAAAGCATACCGGGTTCTCGCTAGTATATATATAAATGTATGATACATTAAACAACACAAAATTTAACGATTCTATTAATTTTAACACAGGAAGTTTGTGTTCAAAACTTACCTACCAAGAAGTTGTTGTGTTATTCGTAACAAGAGTCTACCACCAGGCAAAAACTACGAGGTTATTTTTGCTTGCTTCTTATAGTTTGTGGTACAAATGCTATTAACATTGAGGCGATTTTAAATTCGATGCTATTTTGTTCAAGCAAAAGTTGTTATTTAGTCTATGGTCAATGTATGAGGTTTGTTGTACCTTAAAATTGAGTCCGACTTTATAAAGAACAACATTGCAAAAATAAATATTTACATTCATCAAGTTTATTTCAGAATGATCTTTGCGCACCAAGATGGCGGCTTCTACTAGACACTGGCAAAAGTGGGAGCAAATACTTTCTATCTGCTAATGAGGATTTCATAATTAAAACAATACAAGACAAGGAACATAAATGTTTGATAAACATTCTACCTCGTTTATGTCGCGTAAGTTAACTAATTAAGACGTTTTTTAAACAGGTTTTGTCTAGGACGTATGTCTAAGTAAGTCTATCAAATGGCTTGTGTCACTCTTTTCTACAGATCCGTCTTGTCTCCATATCTATCTTCCATTATTTTCAAACACATTTGTCAATGATATGTGCATATATTGTACATATCTGTCGTGTCATGTTTGTTTAAGTATAATCACTAATCATATAAGAATGGCTATTATTTTGTATTTCAAAGGCCTATTTAACAAAGGTCTATTGCCTTAATTGTTGACATATAAATACATACATAACCATCTACCCTCGCATCCACCTTCACCAACATATCGACACACCAATCCATCATCCATTCATACATTAATCCATTAACCCTTTCGTCGACTCACCCATAGATCCATTCATCCATCCCACCATTTATCCATCCAAATGTCCATCCCTACATCAAACCAACTCTCTACCAAAAAAAATATTAAATAAATAACTAAATAAAATGATATATCGCCGACTTCAGGGAAGATCGTGACATCGACCCCCTTCCCTCTTCTTTTCCCCACAACAACTTCCAAGTGCAGGCGGACAGAACGGCAAAAAGCAAAAGAAAACTATCGTCTAGGAAACTAAACACTTGTGATCTACATGAGGACAAGCTTTCTAGGCACAAAAACGACTCACAACACAACTACTATACTGAACATTGACAACTCACACCACAAATACTGTGCTCAACATTGATGACTCACAACACAACTACTGTACTCAAAATTGACGACTCACAACACAACTACTGTGCTCAACATTGACAACTCACACCACAAATACTGTGCTCAACATTGACGAATCACAACACAACTACTACACTGAACATTGACGACTGACAACACAACTTCTGTACTTAACATTGACCACTCACAACACAACTACTGTAATCAAGATTGACGACTCACAACACAACTACTACACTCAACATTGACGAATCACAACACAACTACTGTACTCAACATTGGATATACCGCTTGTTATTTTCATATGCGAATGACCAACAGAAAACAATATAATATATCTTAGTATTCAACGAACCAGTCATTATCCCTCTGTTCATCCATCCATCTTTAAAAACTATTGTACGAGCGTTATCATTTTAGTTTCTTACAGACAAGACAGAAACACTGCTACCACGATTCTTTGGTCTCTACAGCTACACGGTAAATATTTGTAGTTTCGTTTTATATTAATATTTTAAACAAAACATACTATTAATATATCATATTTACTAAAAATGTTAAGATAAACAATCAGAAATTCATCACAAATTGGTTACTTGCATCATCTCTACTTCCTCTTTGATTTTTTTCTTACAAGAAATAAATTTAACATGAACATTTTAAATTATTTTTCACCAGCTTGCGATCGACCCTCCCTGCTTCACTATAAGATTTGTTCTTTATTACTGTTACTCAGTTTAATAGAAGGTCCAGAAGAGAAGATTTATAAAGCGATACTGAGTCTTCTCTACTAGTCTTTATGTTAACGGCGTTATCAATTTTAACTCTGTCAAATTATGTGTTACATATTAAAAATCCCTGGTATTGCTTATTTGATAGATTTTGTAAGCATCTTGGTACATTAATCAAGACAAACAGTATCCCAAATCGTCTAATTTTTACAAGATTTATCCTACAAATGGAACAGTTGTATCCATTCTGTCTCTGATACCTTCCATCAACACGCCACCAACGGCGACCCTGACAGCACATGGACTGTTGTAACTGATTTCTTATATTTGATAACACCTTCTCAAACACAGTTAATGTCTCACTCGAACATCATGTTTTCTTTCTCATTTTTTCTATATTTATTTATGTAACAGTTGTTTTTTTCTTCAAATTTCTCTCAGACATTACAGAGCACTCAACTCTGTAGGAAAAATAATTGTTTACTTCATTTTTCATTTTTAGTGTCATTTTGTTTGCTGAGAAGGAGTTTTACCTACAAGATTAATTTGATTTCCTTTCAGGTTTGCTCTACCCTTTGTTTATGAGTTCCAGTGAATTGACACCACGCTTAATTGTGCTCCATAGTGGTTGATGCATTTTCTGAATTCCATTGTTATTTAGAGTTAAGAAAGAGGTTTAGAAACGAAGATGTCAATTTTTGTGGAGGTTGATATCAAAATGTTTTGAGACCCATGCCTCTCACGAGCACTGAATGCCACTATATTTACAAAAACTACACATTTATGTGATCAGAAAATTTCTCGTCTAAAGCATGTTACTCTACATTGCTTTCAAAGATTTTTAAATAAATTATATTCTTACTACCTAAGTTGTAAATACAGTGGAACCTCTGATAACGAGTTTAATTCGTTCCAGACTTTTACTCGTTAAGCGAAACGCTCGTTAAACGAAACAATTTGTCCCATACAAATCAATGTAAAATACGATAAAGCGTTCCATGCTGAAAAAATACTAATTTTTCAAAAAATGTATTAACATTTATTCAAATAAAATTACTTATGAATTGTTCTTCTTCTTCTTCTTCTTCTATATCTTAAGGGCCCACGATCAATTTATTGATCATTTTGGCTCCTATGCATGTAGATGGGATTTGCAATGTTTCTGTTCCTGGTGTTGTTGAGGAGTGTAGCAACTTGGAATACAAATTGGATTTGAAACAAAAAACATAAATAAACATATGAATTTATGACAAATAATTAATCCTTTTTAACTAGAAAACTGTCTAAAGACATTTGTTTTTGCCGACGCTTCAAAATTTGACGAAAATGTTTCACAGCATTAGCATTGAATAAATGTGTAGCACGATTAGCCACGCCCACACCTTGTTCTCGCTTTTCAAGGATTTTACATTTTATTTCAACAGTTATTTTGTCTCTTTTATTATTTTCTTCTGGTGGTTTTTTTTTCGAAGACATTTCAGCAGAGGTTATTACACTTTGCACATACAAAAATTACGAATACTGTCTGAATACAAAATTTGTAAAAACTGGTGATCACACACAAAAACAATACGCTAACAGAAACAGTGCTAAACACAGGCTAATGCAATGGTTCTCAACCTTCCTAGTGCCGCGACCCTTTAATACAGTTTCTCGTGTCTTGGTGACCCCCCCCCCCCAGCAACCTAATTATTTTCGTTGCTACTTCATAGCTGTAAGAATATGTGTTTTCAGATAGTCTGAAACGACCTCTGGGAAAGGGCCGCGCTACCCCCAAAGGGGTCACGACCCACAGTTTGAGAACCGCTGGACTAATGCATCGGCTCGGAAGTCTCGGCTCACAAATGAATGTCAGGAAGAAGCGACTTCCCCTTTCTGCATAACTCGTTATGCGAAATATCGCTCGTTAAGGGAGCACCTTCTTCACATTTTTTTTTGCTCGTTATGCGAATTACTCGTTATGAGAGGTGCTCGTTATGAGAGGTTCCACTGTATTACTTGTAATGGTAACAAATCGGTTTCCCTTCTCCAAATATGAGATCTAGCTATTTCCATTTTTAAATTGACAATAATCTAACTCCATACATGTTTGTTGCCTGTAATCCAGGGTGGTGGAAAAACGATTCGATTCATGATCATGAACAACTTACTTCCCAACCATCTACACATTGACAAAAGATTTGACTTGAAAGGTGCCACCAAGAGAAAAAAAGCTGCAAACGTTGGTAAAGACGAGGAATTTATTAAAACACATCTGAGGGGGTTTAAAATGGATGAGGCATATGTTAACAGATTGAGAGAGTTATGTGAGCTGGATTGCATGGTAGGATTATTTCACAGTAAATAGAATATACTTAAGAGAATATTATGATTCTATAAAATTATAAATGATACCTTTTGTAATGCGGGAAATAGCTTATCCCTAATGGGAGATTAATGATATCTATTTCAGAAGGATTTGATGTCGAATCTAATCCTAATGAAATAGAGGCAGGAGAAAACATCTTTAAGTATTTACAACAAAAAAATTCCCTTGGGTTGAGTTCCCACACTCCACATGGGGTTTATTATGGAGCTAAAAAAAAACTATCAAAACATTGATACAAGTAACGCATTTTATAAGAATACCAATGATTACTCCCTTGCTCACAAGGCTTTGCCACTTCACATTTTGTGCATGCCCCTCAACTATATTAATATTCAAAGGACACACTCACTTTTACACTGCAGATTTCTTTTACAAATATTTAAAAAAAAACAAAAGATAATGTTACGCACCAAACACACTTACGAAATGTGTCAACAGTCAAATTTAGCTACTTTACCGGGAGCTTTAGTTCGTGGAATCAGTTTCATCATATTTCCTACATTTTCTCCGTGAAAAACAAGAACAACTTTTTTTGTCGTTTGGGGTGGAGGCTAAAATTTTTTTTACAGAATGTGTTGTCATTGGTAACGATTCTCTGTGTCAAGTTCCAGCTACATATGTTGACGTGCAGTGGGTCAATTAGCCGTCCGAATATTTTGCCGACCAGGCAGCCACGAATTAAACCGAATTTGATATATAAAGGATTTGAAAATGTAATTGTTTTATAGATTTGTTATTTATTTATTATTTTAAGAACTTAGAAGATTTTCTTTTTATTTATATCATGATAACGATAATTAGAAAAGAGTATTGTAAAAATCAATTACAAAGCAAAACTAAGCATCAATTAATTTATTGATAACAGTACCAATGTCCCGTGTTTTATCCACTAAACCTGTTTTAGTTATTTAGAATATACCATATAAAATGATTGGATTTCATTATTTCAGCACTTAAGAGAGTTGGATCTTACCAACTACAGTTTGTTTATTGCCGTCCATGACGTAAACCGGTACAACAATGGCGACCAGATGAGAGTGTGTAATAATAACATCGATGAACACTCCAGATCTGCTGACTCCCTTGGATTGTTACGGTAAGACATAGAAAACTGAAGAATTCACACACGGATAGTACTCACATCGTGTGTGTTAGTTGTGTCTTTGCTTCAAGCGCATTACGGATGTAAGGCTAAAAGAAGAGTTTATTGACCAGCGATATAATTTCAATGAAATACCAACATTGTATAGAGTACTGCGTCACTATTCAAAAACGCCTGCTATCTGAATCGTCGATCATTCGAACTATCCGGTCTTTAAAAAAAATATAATCAAACTTTAGTATGCAGCATCTGGTGTAAAAATTCCAGAAAATGACTGTGAAGTCTGTGCCACAATCCAGTTAGAATCTAAATAGGTATATTACATGCAGTGACCGTGAAATCACTGGTGAAGCGGTGCTGAGCTAGTGTTATACGATCTGCAAACTTAGTAATTAATAGATATCACAAAATAATTGCCTGCAAATCCAACTATGTGGATTTTATTCTAAGTCAGCTATGTTTTTTAACGAACTCCTTTCGTGGAAAAGAATCTGTCGTAACGAGTTGTTGACTTACTCAAATGGCCCGTGGTCAACCATTTATGGTGTTACGTACCCTTTTAATAGTTATTAGTTCAATGAATCTAAACTAGTATTTAGATTTTTGGGGCATGAAACGGGTAGTTTTCAGACACTACTGGTCAATAGAAGAAAGTAAGTGTTCTAGAATAAAGGTAGTTTATTGTAAGGCATGGAAAGCATGAAAAAACGTACAAGAAATCTGCTTATAAATAAGATAACACTCACATAAAGTAATATAAGTTTAACAATAACTGTGGAGAGCCAGTCAGTCACAGATAGCACGCAGCTTTACAAGCATACCAATCCCTCTCTTGTCGATTCCGCTCTCATGACTTCACGGGAGAAAATTGGTGATATCAAGACATGGATGGGACTCAGCAAGTTGAGGCTTAACGATGACAATACGGAAGCACTCCTCATTCACGATCACAAATCATCCTCTAACTCTGCTCTCTCCACTTCATTTCAAGTAGGTAACTCCGACATGCAGTTTAAATCTTCCGCTCGGAATCTTGGTTATATTCTTTCGAATTACATGTCTCTCGATAATCATATCTCTCACATTTGTCACTCTGCATACACCACTATTCGTCAGATCAGTGCCAAAACCATAGTCTATGCTCTTGTTCTCTCTCGTCTTGACTATTATAACTCTCTTCTGTTAGGTTCACCAAAACTAATTAGAAAATTTACAAAAGGTTCAAAACTCGGCTGCTAGGCTAGTTCTAAAATAAAAAATTAAAAAAAACGTGATCATGTCACTCCACTACTTCATTCACTTCATTGGCTCCCTGTACAAGCACGGACTAACTACAAACTCTCTGTTCTCTGCCACAACTTTTTCTCGAATTCCTGCTCTCCGTTTCTAACCGAACGTTTCTCTGTCTCTCACCCCTTTCGACAGCTTCGCTCCTCCGCAGACGCGCATATTCTTTCTGTCCCCAAGACTCGCACAAAAAACATACGGTGAACGATCGTTCTCTTTCTGTGCCCCCAAACAATGGAATTCTCTTCCATTACACATCAGCAATATACCAACCCTCACAGCCTTCAAAGCTGCTCTCAAAACACATCTTTTTAAACTCTACTATCCTGACTGAAACCCCTTTATGACCAAAAAACGATGCTGCTGGGTGCCGTCCATGGCTGGACACGTATAAATGTTTCTGGAAAAGGTGGAGTGAATATGCATATTTTTTTGTTTTATTTAATTAATGTATGTTAATTTTGAAGTTCATGATTATATTTGTTAAACTGTTTGTACAAGGTGGTGAGCCCAACCATAGACTGCGCTATTTAAAACCACTAATATTAATAATAATATTAATAATCTAGACAAACTAATCTAGACAAGCTAATCTAAACCAAATTACTTTGACCAGCTAATCTGACAACCTGTTATAACAGCCCATGACTTGAACAAATTTTACTTCAACTTTGTAAATATCCATCGTCACTTATCTCCCTTTTGTAAATCTTCTCTTTGAAGTCATCCAGTAAATGTGCTGTGACACTCCTTGCCTACACATTCCTTGATTGGGAATAGTTTGTTTATGTTCAAAAGAATTTCATTTATTTCTAAAGAGTGTTATGAGGTAACGCAATTGCTAGAATTTCTTTACAAGATTGTTCCGCATTAATCCATATTTATTTATTTAGGCATTTTTATATAGCGCTTATCATAAAGCTCTAAGCGCTTTACAATTATTAAAACATGTAAACTAAGTAAATACAAATGAGACACTAGGATAGTAACTACTATTCTATAGAAACAATGAAAATGGCTATAAAACGAGGACACTTTGACACTTCAGGATCAACCCGAAACAGAAAATGAGGTAGGGCAAGGAGGGTGCATCACAGGTCACAGGTGACCTAAACAGATGGGTTTTAAGGGACTTTTTGAAAATGGACGAGGTTTCACTATGACGTATATGGAAGGGTAGCTGGTTCCAGAACGTGGGCCCATGGAAGCAGAAGGAGCGTTCACCGATGGTCTTAGTTTTGGTTCTTGGGATTGAGAGGGTTCTACTGTCAATGGAAGAACGTAGTTGTCTTGTGGGGATGTAAGGAAGCAACAGTTCAGAGAGATAGACAGGAAAGTGAGGGTCAGTGAACGAGTTGAAGCAAAGATTGGCAGACTTGTATTTGATGCGAGAGGATATTTGAAGCATATACATATATATATACTACCAGCAGCTTTCCTAGCAGGGAAAGCTTCTTGTTATATTTCCAAGCATAAACGAGACATTTTATATTTGCACTATTGTACTCTTGATGTGTGTGTGTGTGCATATTAATTTTTGTATTATTCGAGCAGTGCATATTTTCATTGGTTATTATGCAAGTTGTTATAGTGTTTTATTTCGCATTTGAAATTGTATATGTATAGAAATATAATAGTATAAGTTTAATCAAATGTTGTAAAGAGGATAACGATGTCTTCTAAATTTTGTAATATCGGAGGATAATTTTGTGTAACAGATGGTTGGCCTAAATCTTCCCAGTTGTATCTTCATAGTGCTTAAGTTGTTAAATAAAAAACAGTTTCATATTATACAACAATGGCAGGGCTTGTAAAATAGCCAGTGTGGTCAACACAATAGCCAGTGTGGTCAACACAATAGCCAGTGTGGTCAACACAATAGCCAGTGTGGTCAACACAATAGCCAGTTCGGTCAACACATTAGCCAGTGTGGTCAACACAATAGCCAGTGTGTTCAACACAATAGCCAGTGTGGTCAACACAATAGCTAGTGTGGTCAACACAATAGCCAGTGTGGTCAACACAATAGCCAGTTCGGTCAACACATTAGCCAGTGTGGTCAACACAATAGCCAGTTCGGTCAACACATTAGCCAGTGTGGTCAACACATTAGCCAGTGTGGTCAACACATTAGCCAGTGTGGTAAACACAATAGCCAGTGCGGTCAACACATTAGCCAGTGTGGTCAACACAATAGCCAGTGTGGTCAACACAATAGCCAGTGTGGTCAACACATTAGCCAGTGTGGTAAACACAATAGCTAGTTCGGTCAACACATTAGCCAGTGTGGTCAACACAATAGCCCCTGGCGTTACGGTATGGTGAAACAAAATGACTGGCACAAACTTAGAATAAGTGTGGTAATTGAGGCATCAAGCACTGGAATAATCAAACACAACATTTTTTTTTAAACTTTTCATAATTCTGATTAAATGTGTTGTTTTATTTTTTTTATTATTTGTTCAGTAACGACTGTTATAAAAAAAAAACCCTTATGACATTGTGAAGTAATTGAGGTGGTCTAAAGTGACCATTGGGCTTCATAAAATGGTCCACTCGGTAACTAATTGTAACCATTTTAATATTAGGAAATCTTGTCTTTTGTTTTATTTAATTGAATAGAAAATCATTATTATACTTTAGAATGTATTTGATAAAAATTAGTCCTATTAACGCATTTATTTCAGGGCAAGTCGTTTTGTTGCGTCCCTTTGTTGAGACATTCTCATACTTTGTTTCGCTTATTTTCTGTTGATTTTCCATTTAGAGATAGATCACGTGGTGTGCCAGGTGAAGTATCCAACCATAAAAAAGTGTTACTATACATCGGCTTCATCCACATTCTACAACCTTATACCTTCGGCAGAAAAGTGGAATATTACTTCAAGTCTATCTTTCCTGGCGGGGTAATTTGATTCTATTTAGTTCTCTAAATCTCTCTGTAGAACTCATCTCTGTACAACTCATCTCTGTACAACTCATGTCGCGATCTGTTCAAAATTCTGCTTCCCTTCCTTTTCTTTTTTTTTTATTTTTTCAAAAGATTCCATGACAGAGAATAGATCAGAATAGTTGATTTTCATCAATTAAATGCGTGGCAAGGTCATGACAATATCATCTCTTTATTCATTCATCATGACACAAGGCCTTGACTATTCCAATGATATTGATCTGATTTTGTAATGAACATTTTCAAGCTATTTAGCATAACTGTGTAAATAAATAAAATAGTGAGATCAAGGGTTTAAACAAATATTTCTTGATTATTGCCTCTCTCTCCGAAATTAACAGTAGCAAAAATGCCTGTTTAGTGGGTGGTGCAGATTTAAGGATTTGTGAAATTTATCCACCCTCTTGTGTTAAGCTTATGTTTAAGACATTAGAAATTAATTAATTTAAAAAAAAAAATCATACTTAAAGAGTAGAAATGAAGGATCTCTTATGTGTATACTGCCTCTCTTGTGTCCTGCTTCCTGCACTATTGGCCCTCACCTGCTCAACATTTTGTTATATTAATAGTACTGTGTGAAAAACAAAAAAAGCTGACAAGCAGCGAGCGCCATTCGTGACGGTTGAACTCGGAGACAGCTTTTACATTAGTCATTAAAGGCCACGGATATAGTTTAGGATTCTCATTAGGACTGTCCTA